TTTCAGTCTTTCTTCATATGGAAGGTTTCTAATATTATGGATCATTTTGTCATTCTTCTTTGTACTCTCTCCAAAGAATCTATGTCCATTCTATAATAAGGACACCAGAATTGAACCGCATAATCCATGTGTGGCCTCACTAATGCTTGGTAAAGTTTCAAGATAACGTCAGCAGTTCTGTTACTCACACTCCTAGATATGAACCCAAGAATCCTGTTTGCCTTGTTGCGAACGCTAATACATTGTTTTCTAGGTTTCAAGTCGTTGCTAACAAATACACCTAGATCTTTTTCACAATCTGAGTTTTCTATTTCCGTGTTACCTAGTTTATACTTAACGTTTGTATTCGTCTACCCTATCTGTAGTACCTTGCATTTATCAGTATTAAAATTCATTTGCCAGTCTACTGACCACTCATGTAAGGTATCTAGATCTCTTTGAAGGTGTTCAAAGTCACTGTCTGAATTTATCACTCTCCCCATTTTGGTATCATCTGCAAATTTACTAATCCTACTAGTTATACCTAAATCAAGATCATTAATGAATATACAAACAGCAGAGGGCCTAATACAGATCCCTGGGGAACTCCGCTTTTGACCGCACCCCAGTCTGACTTAAATCCATTTATGCTGACTCTTTGTTTCCTACCAGTTAACCATGACCTAATCCATTTTAATAATGATCCACCTATTCCATGTGCTTCTACCTTCCTTATCAATCTTTCATGAGGGACTCTATCGAATGCTTTACTGAAATCTAAATAAATTATATCATATGACTTATCATTATCTACCGCTTCATATACTTCTGAGAAAAAGCTAAGCAAATTTGTGAGACAAGAACGTCCCTGGGTGAATCTGTGCTGAGAAGAATGAATTAAGTTGAATGTTTCAAGGTGGCTTCTGATTTTCGTAGCAATAATTGACTCTAGCAACTTGCCTATGATTGATGTGAGACTAATGGGACGGTAATTTGATGCAATTGATTTATCACCTTTTTTGAAAATCGGAACTACATTTGCAAGTTTCCAAGCTTCTGGCACTAGGCCCGATTCTAATGACTTATTAAATAAAACTGCTAATGGATTACTCAACTCATCTCTACATTCTTTTAATATTCTAGCATATACCTCGTCTGGACCAGGCGATTTATGAGGCTTCAGTTTGTTAATTACTTTAAGCACATCGTTACTAGTAATATTGATATTCATCAACATATTTTCTATACAGTCGTTATATACCTTATGAACTTCTGGAAACTGTGCTAGGTTTTCATTTGTGAATACGGAGCGAAAATGACTATTTAATGTACTACACATTTCTAACTCATCATCAGTCATTTCTCCTGTCGTAGTTTTTAAGGGGACCTATTGTATCTCTAAACCTTGATTTTATACAGTTGATAAAAAGCTTTAAAGTTATTTTTCAGATTCGTTTGGTTACCTTGATTTGTACTTCGCTTTCCTAATTTCTGCTTTTTTACTCGTCTTATAGGTTCTATAGTAACTAAGTAAGCATTTCTTTGCCTTCTTAACTTTTCTATATACTCCTTTCTTTTTTTCTCTAGAAGACTAAGAGTCTATTATTCATCCATTTTGGTTGGTTCCGTATCGATCTGAATTTTCTTTTAGGGATGTGTTTATTTTGAGCATTATGGATTGTCGCAATAAATTGTTCATAAGTAGCTGCTAAATTTAATTCGGGGTTCTCCCGTCCTAAGTTGACAGTTTCCGGAGGTGTGGGGGGGATTAATCTTTTGACCATAGGGTCATCCCTTAGGTCTCTCCTTAAGCTACCGTAATTAGCCTTCCTAAAATCCGGGATCAAGGCCGAATTTTCCTTCTTCCTGCCATTCCATATTATGTTAAAATATATGGCTTTATGATCACTGTTTCCTAGTTCGTCTCCAATCCCAACATCTTTTAGTAGATTTTCATTATTACTGAGAACTAAATCGAGGATATTATTTCCTCTAGTGGGCGAGTTTATGAATTGATATAAAAAACTATCTTGTACCACTTCTAGAAAATCTTCAGATTCATTATCGCTAAGTTGATTTTTCCAATCTAAGCCTGAAAAGTTGAAATCGCCTAGAATACATACATTGTTTCTATCAGATGCCTTCTTTATTTCCTCCCATAGCAATTTACCATCGTTCCTACTCAAATTAGGTGGTCTATATATAACACCAATGACTACGGACTCATTGCCCTCACCAATCTCTACCCAAATACTTTCATTGTCGGTATTTGTTTTAATGTTTGATTTATTGCAGCTTTTTAATGACACCCTGATATACACTGCTACACTGCCCCCTCTCCTTCCTACTCTGTCAAATTTAAATAGGTTATATCCTGGAATATGAAATTCTGCTAAAAAATGTTTGCTGTTTGAATTTATCCATGTTTCCGTTATTGCAATTATATCTATGTTCTCTTTACTAACAATGGCTCTGAGCTGGTCCATTTTGTTACACAAGCTTCTACTATTAGTATAATAAACACTCAATATATTTCTTCCGTTTCTATCTGTTTTACATTTATTACGTTGATGTTTGTTATTATGACTAACTATATTTTCAGCATTATTTACTTCTGTTTCACTGCTGTTATTTTCACATGGTATTTTCCTCTCTTTACCATTGATGGGATTTGGACATATTAAAACCCCACCTTTACTACCCTGTCAACTATCTTCGCCAGCACGGCCACCCCCTTCCTACTTAAATGCACCCCATCCCTTGCATACATACTATCATTACCATAGTACAGGCTCCAATTATCAATGAATGGCGTCGACAGCTCTTTACACTGTTCTTCCAACCAGCAATTGAAACCGATTGCACGGGACATCCATTCACGACTGGCACCACGTCTAGGTAGGATAGAGCAAGCAATAGGAGTTCCACCCTTCACCCTAATCTTATCTAGAGCTTCCCTATACAGCTTATGCAGTTCGACACTGGTAAGCTTAATCACTAGCGTAGCTAAGGGGGGGCGGTCCGCCCCGGGCGGCACTTTTGGGGGGCGGCACTTTTAGGTCTGCTCATCACCCATATCTGCAGCTACTGGAGACGTTAATCCATCCCTTTGTATCGGCGGCAAGTTAATCCTTGTCGTGTCTGACCTAACACCTGACCCACATCATCACGGCCACGTCATGAGCTACGTACACCCTTGCTATGCTCCCCCCCCACACACACAACCTGTAACCTGTTGAGGATTAAGGAAACAACTTCAAACAAGTACGCCAGTGAGCTCATGTGGTGTGGGTCAGGTGTTAGGTCAGACACGACGAGGATTAACTTGCCGCCGATACAAAGGGAAGGATTAACGTCTCCAGTAGCTGCAAAACCATGCAGTCTCGGGTCATATCAGTTCATGTACAGCCGACCAATCCACCAGTTACAAGCAATTCACTTCAGTTCTGCACAAGTCTCCATCGTGACAAGACGAGGGGAGGCTAGACGACTTTTAAGTTCTCTTGTGTTTTCGATCCAGTTATTTACTTCGTTGGAAGACATAATACTATAAGGTAAGAAATATTAAAGTATTGGTTAAAAAATATTGATGTGACTTGCTGCGGTACTGAGATTAAATATTAAGATTTTGTTTCACAGCATTGCGATTTTATACTAAGACACTATCCTCACTGGGGTACAGACAAAAGCCCCCCTGACAAAAGCCACCCAGACAAAAGCCCCCCAGACGAAAGCCACCCAGACAAAAGCCACCCAGACAAAAGCCCCCCAGACGAAAGCCACCCAGACTAAAGCCCCCTACTTTGATCGGGGTGGCTTTTGTCTGACAACAGTAAGGGCTTTCAAAAGTTACGGACATAATTAAATAGTTGAGGGTAAAATATACTGTTCTTCTCTGTGGTTAATTATTGGTTAGGTTAGGGTTAGGTTAAGTTAGGTTAGGTTGGGTTAGGGTTGTCAGACAAAAGCCACCCCGATCAAAGTAGGGGGCTTTTGTCTGGGTGGCTTTCGCCGGGGGGGCTTTTGTCTGGGTGGCTTTCGCCGGGGGGGGGCTTATGTCAGACATCCATTTTCACTGTACTCTGAGTCTGTAATTTTAGATTAAGTTGCTACTTTTTACATTTCCATTGTATTACATTGATACTAGTGTCATTATACCGTGATTTTAGATCAAGCTGTTATTTTTACATTGCTGTGATTTTAATAATTTTAGATGATAATGACACTAGTGAGACAGTGTCATTATACCGTGATTTTAGATCATACTCAATAAAAGATAACGGTGCAGTACAATTGTTTTATGTAACGGATTCCTAACCTAACCTAAAATAATATATATATATATATATATATATATATATATATATATATATATATATATATATATATATATATATATATATATATATATATATATATATATGCATGCAGAAACTTCACATCATGAAGAATAGATGCACAATAACCACTGGAGAAAGGAAAGACAAGCAGCAAGTACTTTCGTTTAATACATCCTCAGGCAGAGGATGTATTAAACCAAAGTACTTGCTGCTTGTCTTTCCTTTCTCCAGTGGTTATTGTGCAGATATATATATATATGCTGAGGAAATGCTATTTAAGAAAAAATGTTTTCCTATGCATATTACTTTTGGAATAGCGTTTTTTTATATTATGCAATGCCGAAATAATAAATAATGTACGTAATACATTTTAAATTTTTTTTTGTAAATTCACAAAAGCATTCTTTTGCTACACAGAGCTTTTTTCTTAATGTGTTATTTGTCAAAAGTGTAGAATTTGTGACTTGTGATATTTAGCTTCATCACTTTTATCTAAAGTTCTCGTCATTTTTTTCAATTTTTTTTATCTTTTAATCTTAAACATGCAGTGTGAATTTATTTCTCGAAAAATTAATGTTTTATACTTCTATCACTCTGTCTGAATCAAATATTAAACAAGAATAAAGGGGCACTCTTAAAATACATCAGTCGTATAGAAACCAAATCATTATCAAATTCAAGGGATTCAAGTTCAACTTCAAGCGATTCGTCAACTTCAACTCCTTCAAGTGATGAAGAACATGAAGAAGAAAATATTCCGGGACCAGCTGTGGACAGAGTGGACATAAAAGATGTTGGCCTATGGCCAAGCAAGATTAGCAATGACACACGGATCTTTCTGGTACGTCAAGGTGCGACTGTGGTTCAAAATCTAGATTCTGATTTTGGTGAAGTAATTCGTGAAGGTGTGTCAACCAAAGGACAAACTAGAAAACTAACACGCGAGTGGTTTTTTCAAACTCTGCCAAATGGTGAAAGAATGTTGAGATCATGGATGGTGTACTCCCCTTCCAAGGAAGCTCTTTACTGCTTTTGTTGCAAACTGTTTTCAGACAGAAGTAACTCAAAATTTAATTCTGAGGATGGATTCAACATATGGTGGAAACTGAATCCTAGAATATCCGAGCACGAATCCAGTGCAGCTCACGTTCGGAATTTCACACAATGGAAGGAGTTGGAAATTAGGATTGCTCGTGGAGCAACAATTGATAAAAAAGAACAAGAAGTTGTTGAAAGCCAAGTGAAAAAGTGGAAGGAAATCCTTTCAAGATTGTTTGATATTATTAGATTCCTAGCTAAACAGAATTTGGCTTTACGAGGCCACCGAGAAGGAATGAATTATGAGAGAAACGAGACTAAAGCAACGGAAAATAGAGGAAATTTTTTAGAGCTAGTTGATTTGTTGGCGAAATATGATCCAGTGCTACGTGAACATCATCTAAGAATCCAGCTAGGAAACAAGTTTGCTACTTCCTATCTGTCTCCTACTATTCAGAACGAGTTTATAGAAATTTTGGGAGAAAACGTAAGAAGCAAAGTCATCAAGCAAGTAAAAGAAGCAAAGTACTTTTCCATGATATTCGACAGCACTCCTGATATTTCACATAAGGATCAAACGAGCCAAGTTTTACGCTATGTTATGATCGATGGAGATAAAGTGAAGGTTGTGGCATCATTTGTCGATTTCATTGAAACAGAAAGTAAAACCGCCGAGAATATTTCAATGATGATTTTGGAAAAATTAGAGAAAGATGGAATTGATATTCAAAATTGTAGAGGGCAAACATATGATAATGCTGCGGTGATAGCTGGTGTTCATACTGGTGTTCAGAAACGTATCAAGGAAATTAATAAAAAAGCAGAATTTGTCGTTTGTACAAATCACTCGCTGAATTTGGCGGGTGTTCATGCAGCTTCTGTTGCTGTGAATTCTGTTACCTTTTTTGGATGTGTGGAACGTTTGTTTGTATTTTTTCCTTCATCAACCCATCGCTGGGATGTTCTAACTTCAGACACAGGTGAAAGTGTCAAGCGCATAATAGAAACTCGGTGGAGTGCGAGGGGAGAAGCTGTAAGTGTTGTAAAGAAACATTTCTCAAAAATCTTAAGTGCCCTAGATAAGTTAACTGGTGAAGAAGAAAATACAGCTACCAGGGCAGATGCTGGTGTTCTGCTTGGTGCGTTGCAATCATTTTCCTTTTTGTGCTTTCTTGGCCTGTGGGGACCCGTCCTTCTAGAAATTAACGACACACAGACTTACCTCCAAACCAAGGGCTTGAACATACAACAATGTGATATAAAACTCAGGGCATTAGAAACATTTCTAGTTGAAAACAGGGACAAGCTAGTGAGTAATGGAGTTAACTATGCCAAAAGAAATTTGCAATGATCTGGGGATAGTCATGGAGCGTCAGCGTCGACCCAAAAAGAAGAAACAAATGTTTGGTGAAGGATCACGAGATGCTGAATTGCCATACGACATTGAATTGAGGAGAGAAATGTTTTCTTCGCTGGACAGAGTGATCGAAGAAATAACTTTGAGATTTCAACAGCTTCATGAACTTGCTGAGAAATATGCCTTCCTTACCCCATTGAATCTTTTGGATAATAAATATGAGTGTCAAATAGATCACGATCACGACGACATTGATAAAGAGGAGTTCCTCGTTGAGAGAAAAAGACTTCAGCATTTTGTTGCTGTTGCTGCTATAACTATTAAAGACAGAATACAGACGTGGAAAGAAGGCCCCCCTTGAACTTTTGCAGTTTATTCAAAAGTATAACCTTGGGAACTCGGTTCCAAATATAGTAATAATGCTGAGGATTTTCCTCACAGTTGCTGTTAGTGTTGCTACCTGTGAGAGGAGTTTTTCGAAACTAAAACTGATCAAGAATTACTTAAGATCTACTATGAGCAC